ATTGACGAGGTTAAACGTAAATATAAAGGTATGTGTCAATCAAGATATGGGCAAGAACAGGCTTAATGATTAACTACGTGGACAATTGTGGGTGTGGTGTATATTTTGTAACTATTCTTTAGTATATCACTTGTGTGATGTAAGAATGTTAACACTGTTATATTCTTTTTCTAGTATAATATGTGTGTGTGTAGAAGTGAATCATTTATTGCTTGCAAACCAATGATGGTAAGATGATGTCATGGGGTAGGACTGGATAAGTCTGACTTCTTCCTACTCCATTCAAGCATGTACTAGGTATAAGCACATTGATAATGCATTTGTGGATATGTGTGAAATTATGTGTGTTGACATATTGACTGTCGTTACATGTTTGAAAGAATAAATCAAATCAAAATCAAATCAATTTTAAATAGCGCTAGACACTTCATTCACAATAATTATTAGAATTGTTTTTATTATTAACTTCTGGCTGTAAAATGCCTGTTACAATTTCCCACAGCCCAAGGTGACATGTTAAAATGTTTGTTCTTTCTGAGCAACAGTCCAAAGTCCATGATTATCTAGTTTCCTCTCTTGCATCTGAAAAGCTGGAACCAGCTAGTTTTGCTTAGAAAGTGACTAAAACCTTTATTATTAAAACAGTTGCCTCAGCGCTACAGCGAATGAAAGATCTCTGTGATTATGTTTGATGATCATCGTCGCCATGCCACATTTAGTTGTATGACCTTCCTGGGGGTCATGCTGTTGTCTTTAGCCTGCACTGCACTTGGCATCAAATTTCTCCTGTCAGTGAACGCAGCACCGGCTCCCTCGTTAGCTTGACGTTATTTAGGGGAAAGTTCGTCCTCACCCACATCTCTCCCGTTCACCTCAGTCTGAGAGATTAAAGCCCTCAGAGAAACAAGGGTAGGGCTTGAACTATCCCGGAACGAGCTGAACCAATGTCCCTCACTGAAAATAAATTTGTAACAATTTATATTAGTTATCGATCGCAGCTAGCCGACTAGTTTAAAAGCTAATTTAGCAGAGGAGCTAACAGTAAGAAATATGTTTAGATTTTAACTGCCACCACATTTCTCATGTCATTGACTTAAGATGGCAGACACTTTGATTTTTTGCTGCCTGGTTGTCATTTACTGTTATAAATGAGATCAGCAGATTTAACGTTTCCCGGGCAATGTAGTGGTTACGTAGCGCACTAAGCTAACTATTGCTCTGGCATCACTCCGGTGCACATATTTAGGTAAAATAAGGTTAGCATGGTCTTCCACGAGCAAGTAATGCTTCATATCACCCTCTGCAATTGTTCTGACCTTTTCCTTGTCTTGCACCCACCTTTCCTTGCTTTGAAAAGTGCAGCCATGGTTGGACCACAGGGTTTGACGTGCAGCGCTGCAATGATGGATTTGATCTCTGGTGTCGTGAAGCACGCTGCTGCCTTTACGTGCTGTCGGCATTGTAGGAATTGCGAGGCGGCATAGCAGAACACGTTCATGAGCGTCGTAAAAATTGTGAGGACCCAAACGTGTTTCAGTAATAGTTTTACTTTGCCTTTCTCTCAAAACTAATATTTTTGTTCTAGTATTTTATTGGTATTGATCAAATATCCAGGGTTAATAGATTCAAATGACGGAAATCAGATTTCTGTCACGACTTGCATGTGTTCATTTAAACATAGGTTTATATAGGTTTACTGTATGCATAGTGTAACACACTATATTGTGGCTGTAAGCAGACATAAGTGTTTCAATTTTAAGTGCTTATTGATATATTTGTTAAAAACTTTAAATCCTCCTGTGAAATATCCATAATTGGATGCTGGCATATAAACAGATAATAAATGACAATGTGGTAAAACACAGTTGTAATAATGAAAAATAGGTCTTCACAGGAAAAGTTGTAATTGTTGAAAATAATGTACTTTAATAAACACCCATGATAAAGAATATCTGCGTATAACTGCATTGTAATGTGTTAAATTATACTGTTTATACAGTAGATGTCAAATAGTAGGGATTGCAATATTTGGCTCCCCAAAACTTTATACTATATGATATGTCCAAACTATTCATATTTTAACTTACAGTGACTTCATAATGCTGCGTTGACAATATCTCAGATGATATTTGCATTCCCCTATACAAAAATATAGGTATTATGGTACATTGTAGGTTACTGTGTAATTGTTTTAGGTAAAAAAAAAAAACTTACAAATGCTACAAAGACAGTTTTATCATACACAAGGTTATTGAAAAAATAGCATGTACAACATACACGTAGGCCCCTCGGTTTTACTGATCAGTCTGCTTTAGGGGATAAAAATGAAAAAAAAAGTCAAAGCAAACCACCTAAACACCGATATTATCTGAGCATTAGATGGCTTTTCTGTAGAAGGAATAAAGGTTTTCCAGCCAGGGAGGTTTTAGGTTTTTCACATTTATTTTTCAGCACCATAAAATGTCAGTTAAGGCTGTCCAGCATGTTTGCTCTCATTCTGTCTTTCCTCTGTTCTAGAGCCACGATGGTGGAAGTTTAGGATCGGAATGGAGAAAGGGGGCGTTTGGAGAAATAAAAAGCTGAGGGGCCTGCGTGGCTACAACAGCACCACCCAGCCAGCAGGTGTCATTCACTTGCTGGTGGAGGTGAAGGTGAAGCATCCTCTCTGGTGGAACTGCTTGTCCCTGATACGACGCATGGACTGGATCTGGGGCTGGAAGGCGGAGAAGTCGTTGTAGTGTCTGTAGTCACCGCACTCAAACAGGTACTGGTAGCCTCTGTATCCAGGGTACTGGTAACCCACCCACCTGATGGAGACACAGAGAGGGCGAGGATGGAGTTTCATTAGCACTTTAATATCCCTGTTGTGTAGCTTGTATTTGTATTACAATTGAAATTTTTAAACCCTTTTCTATTGCTTTGTTTATGCAGTGATATGTTTGGTATGAAGTAGTATCCCTTTAAATGTGATTACTTTATTCTTTTCACATTATTCTAAATTGAATAGAGACTAGGTCCTTTATGCCAGAGGTCCTGGTGATGATTGAAGAGGTTCTAGGATCCTTATAAGGTTTTTTAAGAGGAGGGACATGTGGTCCCTAAAGGCCTCAACAAAGTTTGGTGGTCATTGAAGAGGCTGCAGGGGTTTTTTGTGAGGTGTAAAATTGATTGAAAAGGTCTTTGAAGTTCAGGTAGTATTTTAAGTGGCTCTAGGTCCTTTAGGAGGTTGTAGAAGTCCTTTAGGAGGATTCTAGAGGTCTAATGGTGATCATTTAAGAGTATTTCAAGAGGCTTTGTGTTAATGAGGAGCTTCAGAACATCCTTAAAAAGCCTCTAGATGTCCTTTGGCAGATTCTAGGGGGGCCACTAAAGAGGTTTTAGTGGTCACTGAGGATGTTTAATGTTCACTGAGGAATTAAGAAAGCTTTAGGGGTTCTTATATGAGGTATTAGGATTAGGAGGTTCCAGGGGTCCCATAGAGATATTAGGGCTGCTCTGGGAGCCACTGTTCAACCATCCAGTAGAGTTGGAGCTGGGGGCTCGAGGTGGGGTGGCCCTCGTAAATAGATGTGCATTTCATTCAGAGACTTGGAAGCCATAGTGAGAAAAATTCCTGGTTAAAAATATGTATTTGCCAACAAGCACCCCACACAGTCAGCTTTAAGACTTGTGATGACATGCCATCCTGCTTTTATGAACAGCTACATTGTAGTGTAATGCTGGAGGCCTGTGGCCTTCTCCAGAGCTATTTCTAAATCAATATCTGTAGCACAGAGCCTCCACTTTGGTTAGATATGGAGAATGAGAATGCAGATTTGCTCCCAGGCTGTATGTCAGAGCCTTGTCTTATTGGCATGTAGTTTATAAAAACAGGGCTATAAATCTTGATCCTCCACTGAAGTCATTCATTTTGAAACCTCACTCAGTACATGTGTGTTTGTGTCTACTCACGTTCCTCCTGGCACCCTCACGCTGCCCACTCTGTCGCAGAAGCCGTGCGCCCAGAGTGTGGGCACATCGTCCTCCTGGATCTCCATCTTGTTGCCCTTGAAGTCGGAGAGCTCATACAGACAGATCTTGTGCTCCGTGCTGTCCTGCACAGGGCAAATGAGGCACGAGGAAGTAAACACATGGTCTCCATGTCACACTATCTACATGTTCATTTGTTGTATTCCTGTTATTTTTGTAATCACACTGTGGATCTGAGGGTGGCAGTGTTGCTCCGTTGTTGTTCTGGACTGTTGATCAGACAAAACCAGGATTTGAAGTATGACACACTGGCCTCTGAGAAATTACAATGTAATAAATGTCACTAGAATTAAAGTCATTAATCAAGGAAATAATCATTAGTTTATTGCTCTAGATAGCCTCATTTTCATCACAAGTTTAAATTTCATGTGTTAATTTTATCTGAGCTGGCATCACTAGCATGGTGAGAAGCTTTTAGTCTTGTTTGTTGTTTGTACGATTATTTATATTAAATTTCACGCCTTCCACCACACCGCTTTGCTTAGAATGTCTTCTGAAGTAAAGGAAGCCGATTCAGTCCATTATAACAAACATTAATATAATACACCGACCATGCGGATGGGCCTGAGGGACATGAGGCAGTCGCTGCGGTAGGAGTTGCTCCACGTATCCCAGCGAGGATACTCTCCCTTCTCCAGGATGAACATCTCCCCACGGAAGTTGCTCTGCTCAAAGGCAACAAAGCTGGAGAAGCGGTGCCACCAGGCAGTAGGGGTGGGGGCACACAGGTGGAGGGGGCAAAAGAGAAGAATTAGAGGAAACACAGCAATGAAATGCTTGTAAACAGAGAGCATACACAACTGTGGTTGGGCCAGTCAGGTGTGTGTGGATGGGTGTTCACTTACGGGCCGCACTCCACAATGATACTACGCACTCTATCCATACCACGGTCACACACATTCATGCACTCATTCTGGACCTCAGTCCTTCTGCCCTGGAAATTCTCCTGGTCGAACAGCATGATCTGTACAGAGACAGGAAGTTAGACCAGCAAGTAGAACAACACATGTCATATCCTTCATTTGTCCCAGCAGTTTTAATTTTCAGTCATAAGCTAATCAGAAATGATCTTCCTCTTAGAGGGCTCCCACAGTAATCATGATGCCTCTGCAACACCAGGAAAATAATCTTATTATTTGGCATCTGCAAAACTCAACAGCACTTTGCCACAGCGAAAACAATATCTTTGTTGTTTCACTACTTTAACCAGGTCTCTGGATAGAGTTTTGCAGATGTCATTTTTCTAAACCTTTTTAGCACCACAATAAAATGCCATTCACCTTCAGTGAATGTAGTGGCATCAGAAATCTCAAATAAAACTATCTGGAATATGTTGGTGAATGTGTTGCTTTGTACTTTGGGTCAACCAGCATGGTACAGACTGTTTCTACAAAAGTGTAACACTGCAGTGACTCACTCTGTAGGATCCCATGCCAGGGTCGCCGGGCTTGGTGGCCTTGCTGGAGGCAGCTGGAGCAGGGGCTCCCTTGTCCTTGGCATCGGTGCCCTGGCTGGAGGTGGACTTGGTGGTCTGAGACATAATGGGGGCTTCAGGAGAGTCTGGTTGAGAAGTGAGGAAGACAAGGGGGTGAACATAAATAGAGGTGTAAATGGAAGTGACAGGATCGCAGAGGAGGAAGTGAAAGGCATGGAGAAGTGAAGTAGAAATGTATGTTTCAGTGAGGCCCAGTTGAGGTGTCAACGTTATCAGAGGGGTGGGTATGGGTTTGGGATTTTCTTTTTGTGTGGGAGGCTTATTTGGGTGCTGGACTTCTGCTTGGGTTTCCTGCAGACTGAGAGTGATTTGCCTGGGTGTGGTGGGCAGGGAGTGGGTCCTGGCTCTGGATGATGTGTGGTTGTCCCTCTGTGCTATGGTGGATGTTCTGGTGTGCATGTCTGCGTCTGTGTGCCCTTACCTGCGTTAGTATAGCTCGCAGTGCCGTGTGAGGGAGGCTGGCCTGTGCTGGACCCTTCAGCACTCAACCCAAGCCTTTATACACTGGCAAAGGCCAAGCGTTGAGGCTCACAGCACAATAGAAAGCCTCTCGTCATCAGAGTCGGCCCGTGCCAAAGCCACCAGGTCACTGCATGGCCTAGAAACACCGCAGGCCCCTCTGGCCTGCCTGTAAGCGTTTTACTATGAAAGGAAATGACTGACCAAGGCTTTTTCCCATGTGTCGGGCTGGTAGGCCTGTAAGCTGTGGTTGCATGCAGAGAGAAGGAATGTGAAGGTCCGGAGCACACAAAGAAATAATCCCTTCTCTCCTACATGGACACACACACAAAAATACATCATATTCTTTTTAACCTGAAAACAAAGACTCCCTGTTTAAAACAATCCTTTCATTTGAGCCATATCATTTCTTGGTTTTGAGAAAATGCTAAATGAAATAATACATAAAACAGGTGATAAACACACCTGATTAGCATGTCTACAACAATAGAATGTAACATAGAAGACAGTTAACATCAAACCCATGTCTGTGTGTTAGCTGGGTAGCCTAGCTAAAAAACTAAAACGTTCCTTTCTAGAATTGACTTTGTGGGCAATAGTTTATCTGTTCATGGAGACATCTGCCAACCTTAAAGTGACGACATTATTCTAAGATCCAGCTGTTGTTTGTGGAGAAATAGTTACAACCCATAACTCTCCCTACAACCACAACTGCCCCCTTGCTTCCAGTCTTTATGCTAAGCTAGGCTAATTCCAGCCACTAGACAGGAAGCCTATAGAGCTTCTCTGTAAAGGTTAAGAATAAGCTTCCTAAAATGCTAAACTAATTTTTTTAGCACATTTTGTTGCTTATGAATCCTAATTTCTCTTTTTAAGATAAAAATGTTATTTAAAAAGTGACTTGTTATCACTTTTAATCCCCATCTGTATATTTATGCAGAGTTTGATGTTAGTGTTTATAATGATATCAGGTGAAAATAAGGCTGTTGATGTTGATGATGAAGATAATTCTTGGATTACAGACAGATTATATCTGGACTATATCACCTCAACTGTGATTATTTCATCTATAGAAGCAGGATTAAGGTGAGTGTGATATGTGGGGATTTGGTTTGAACTAATCCTACTGTGTAATCTGTGTGATTTCATTTGCAGGGGGGGGAAGGGGCAACTGAAAAGTACAAATATTAGTTTCACTTTCTGACATCCTGTCTCTCAGCTCCAAGTCGACTAAAGACAAATTTTTAAGAACACTTCACAAGTATAGTTTCATTTTCTTTAAAAACTGTCTCTAATTTCCGAAACAGCTGGGCCCTGTAGTTTTTAAACAAATGAACGGGAGGAAATGGTGCATTTGTTGGAGACTATTTTTAGCAGCAGATTAACATGTGTGGTGCTCCACTGAGTATTTCATGTGGTTGTGATAATGAAGGCTCACTGATGTGACTTTAACAACAGTGGTGCTTCGTAGCACAGTACACATTACTAACTTTGTGTCTCCTCTCTCCTGTAGTGTGTCCTCTCTCTCTCCCTGTACCTTTCTGCAGGTTGCCCTGGCCCTGGAGCTCTACGTCTCTGATGAGCAGTCACCAGCCACATTGACCTGATCAGTGTTTGATTGTTGTGTCTTGTTGCTTTTCTTCTTTTGTCT